AGTGTCTTTAATGGGCAAATCAAATGTCATCAGAGTAGTCAAAATGTTACAAAGATCCTCATATATATAAAAACTCGATGACAGTATTACCCAATCATGAAGAAATCAATGATTCTACGTAAAACACCAGACCAATAATCTTGAGGTTGGATTTTACTCCTAACTCATTTTTTCTATATTATGGGCAAGATGCTTAACCTCTCTTACTTTTGGTGTGCTCTCAGCAAATACATCAGTATCCACAGATGCTGACCACCGCCAATTCTCACAAATCCTCATCATCTAATTTTTCACTGACCAATTAATAAGACTTAACAGAGTTCAGTGGACAATGCACCAGCCACTTACTTGGAACTTACAGATTGCCAGCCATCTGCAGAGCACAGCTTGTGAACCAATGTACTCAGCAGCATCAGAAGAAGCTTATCTGCTTCAAGGTATTATGAGGTTAGATCCATGAGTATGTATAAGCATATCATATCCTAGACTGAAAGGTGTAGTTACAAATGCAATCTTTTATTGTAAGTGGCATACTGAAATGCCAAGTTGGGTAATATTGGGAAGATACAGAGAGATGAGAGTCTAAAACATTTTAAAGAAGCTCTACTTGCTTCATATTAGCAGAAGTATCATGACCATAGCCACAGTTCTGGCAGCTGCCCAGGACAGCACAGTACAAGTTGCAGTAAAGAACAGTTCTGGCAAGGCTCTAACACATGGATTTTGGTGAATCTACTTGTGGTGAGCCAGAGCATTATCCTGCATTTCTCTTTCTTTAACCCAAGTTTACCTTCTCCATGAAAAGGGTAGCTTAAGAAACATACTTTCAATGTCCACTCTAGGTAGTAGAGCAAAATTCCCTTCTCAAGTAGTGGCAAAACCAGAGAAAAAGTCCTAAGAGGGTTAGTCTAACAAAGGATGTCAAGAAGCCACAAAATAGCACAGCTCTGAAAAGAAAAAAATATAAGGTGCATCTGGTCAGGTACTCCAGTAGAAATAAATTTGGATTTACTAGGGGGTAGGAAAGAGAGTGAAGACAAGATGGCTACAGCCGTCTGCCATTTGCCCTCTTCAGTGCAGCTCTCAGGGTCATGAGACTAGCAAAGATTGTGCAGCTTTTCAATTGCCAGAGCAGCTGCATCAGGCCAAGTGACAAAGGTGAAATAATAATGCCACTATCTAAGGCACTGGTGACATGCCATTAGCAGCAATCCTGGTCAAGAGTGTTTATGAAAGCTAAATTCAAACTGGAAAGTACAGGAGAAGATTATTAGGAAGACCGGAAGAATGAAGAGCTTATGAGAGAAATTCAAAATAAAAAGGAGTAAGTAAAACATAAGCTTGTTTCTCTAGATAAGTGAACACTTGTTTCACTAGATGAGTGAACATTAGGAAATGAGAACTATTTAGACTTACATTTACTGGAGCAGACACTGGATATTAAGAAGTGAGTATAAACTAGCCCTGAGTGCCTCTGAGATGGAGATTAGAAAGTATCTAACCTGCAAGGAAATGAGTTTCCACAGTACACTTTCAAAAAGGGATAGTGACAGAAAGAGGACTACTGACGCCAAATGCAGTTTAATCAGCTAACAAAAAGGTATATATAACTTACTCTGTGGACTCAGTGGCTTGGCAGGCTCTTCAACTTCAGTGCTTCTACTCTGAACCAAGACTGACGTATCTAATAACTTTGCTGAGTGATAGGAGACAAATTGCCATGCTAACTCCTGTGTCTTATAGCTTTGATTTGTCTTTTTTCATCATAATTTTATAATAACCTGTTAAATATCTGGAAGCAGCCTTTTTGCTTACTATTGCCCTTGTCTATTGTGTTTGGATATGTCTGTTATAAACCTATTTTTTCTGGGCATAACCATTGCCAGTGACAACAGGATATGAAAAGCTAAGAATTAAATGTTCTCAATTATTTCCTTGGCAAAGCATATTATTTACAGATTGTTCCCTACTTCCTAGTTTTCCCTCACCTCTATGGCCTCAGTCACTTTTGAAATTACCTGATGCCTGGGCAAGTGAAAGAGAGGGTCTCTAGAGATCTAGCATTTTCTAGTAGCAAACTTCCACCATTAACGCCCATATGCTAAGAACAGGTTATCCAAATTACAGTCCTGATTTCTTATTTGGGCAAAGTGCAGGTATGTGGAAAATCTGCACGCTACAAATCACATAAGGAGTGATACTTGAAGCGAGTGAATTAGTGTAAAAATCACTGAGAATTTCCCATTGAATCTTCACTTTTGAAAGTACCACGAAAGCCTTAAGGGAAACTTCTGAGAGACACACAAGACATTCCAAATAATTCAGACCAATTCTTAAAAGAACTTGCAGAAACCATACAGACCTCTATGTTTCACAGAAAAGAAAGCTCACTACTTTTGACTTCTAAACCAAAGACTTTGCCATGGTCATAAGCACTATCAAGACTTATATATATTCTTTGCAAACATGGCTAGAAAAATGAATAGTAGTCACAAACACTAAGCCTGATTCAACTACATCCAGCAGATGACAACAGCAAACTTTTATACTAGGCAACTCCTCCTCTGGAAGAACTGCTTGGGCTGCCTTTCTGGTAATTATTGGCTCTTCATGTCTACAGAGAAAAATCATGAGCTTGAGACTGAAACAATTAAATCATAAATATAGAAACACATTGTCACTGCATGGGCCCTTTTCCTAATCCTGATAAAATATTCTAACTTTTTAGTTTTCTTTATAATTATTGCTTGACGGAAATGGAAAAAAAAAACATGTTTACACTCTCCTCTGAGCTGTTTTTGTCATGATCAAAAGGCACATGACTGATCACTCTTTCTGTTGCTCTACAATTCAGAGATGGTATCTCTGTAACAGACTGTTCCATAAATTTCTTGTGTGCAAAGAAGCAACTGCATTTCTTTCAGGTAATAGGAAATCAGATAGCTAAAAGAGATGAATCAAGCAATTAGTTCAGCTAGTCTAAACCACATTTGAACAAGGACCAACAATACTTGCCTAATGTTGGAAAACAAAAGGACTCTTAAGAAGAAGAATCCACAATAGAATACTGTTTTACTGGAATCTTTAAGAATAATAATATTTGACTAAATTGGAAATAGTGTAAGCAGAAGAAAATTTAAAAAATATGCAGAAACTACAAGTGAAAATCAAACTTCATCTGTCAGACTGCATTTTCACATCTTGGAAAAATCCAAATGCTTGTGATTATAATTTTGAAGGAAATATGCTTAAAAATAGACACTGTTCGACCATCTCACCAGCCTGGAAAAAGTGGAATTTGTAGGGTTTTTTATAGATCTCTGCTGTCTCTTTTTATATGAAGGCTGTGATTTCTGCTGACTTTTATTCAATTATGTTTAACAATAATTCCATTTGTACTGACAATCATATAAAAAAAACAAGCTGTTTTCTGGTATGTGTCAAGTACATTTTTTTTTTTTTTTTATATCTGGACTTTCCTTTCTTTAGATTTTATTGTAATGTTGTACCACCATTTTGTTTCCACAAGTATTTAACAATGCCAGTGAATTCAACACCTGTCAAAAATGTCAAATGCAACAGTGACCAATCTGTAGATGCCATCCTTTACTAGCAAAATTTGCTTTTAATGAAATGCTCTCCAAAGCCAATACATAATAAACATGACTTCAGTATCTCAATAAGTATGTGTAAATAAATGGCAAATACCACATAAACATTTCCAACACATGCATGTAGCATGCAGAACTAGGCATTTTAAACAGCATACTAATTATTGCTGCTCTCCAATCGGAAAACTGAAAGACATTCTTACTGAAGAACAGCGCATTTCTAGTGCACCTCTTTGGTTGAAAGGTTTCAGCATGTGACATCTGAGCAACTGCTCTGCAAAAGATTTATGAGATTATGAGTCTCAGTCCAAAGTCAAGCAAGCCCAACTCCATATCAATTTAAGATTTCTGACTTCTTTTAAGCATGCATATTGAAAAGGAGGCAGATCTTCCCTTCTGGCTGAAAATCTATTACTGACAGGGTCGATATCCAGCATGAAAAATATTAGCTATCAGAGCTGCAGTTCATAACTTAAGTCGCAGCAGACTGCAAAAGTGCTCTCTTTGCATTGTATAAAATCAGCAGGATTGATTGTTACCAAGCCACTGGTAACATGACTGATCTTCTATTAGAAAACAGTCATGTGTTCGAAAGTATAGGCTGGGGTCCCCAGCACTCCTGGGTGAGATTACAAAATAGGTTCTAATTAATAACTGAAGTACAGTTCACCAGCAGAAGCTGTTTTGAACCAGCAACCTAGAAACTGTTAAAAACTCTGAATAATGTAACTGGTATCTGTACAGCCTCTGCTTCTCCAGGGCTAAGGGGCATTATATTCTCCCACCTACAAAAACTGCCGAAGAGGGGCCACCACTTCACAACCCCCAGTTCTCGCCATGAGCCATCCCTCCCTGGTGCAGACGGGTAACTGCTCCTCGAACAAACTGGTGGAGGTACAGGGCCAACTTCCTCCGCATCCGGGTGGGACCCCGTTACACCGCATCACCTAACAACTTCCATCCGTTCGCCCCCCGGGGAGCCGCGACCAACGCTAAAAGGGCCGTATCCGTAAAAGACCGTTCGGTGTGCCCAAATACGACCCGAAACCCACCCGCGGCCACGGCGGCGGCCACGGCAGGGCCGTGCCGCCCAGCCACCCGCTCCGGCTGCCTCCCGGCCCGGGGAGCCGCTCTGCGCGGGGGGGTCCCACCGCGCCCCTGCCCCGCTCGCCGATACCGACCGCCGGGGACCCCCCTCCCAGGGACACGACCCCCCGGGCCCCACCGCAGGCAGCCCGGGCCGCCTCACGCCCGGGGCGTCCTCACGCCCCGCGGCCACCCGCGGGCGAGACCGGCCCGGCGGCCCCGCCATGCCGCCGCACGCCCCGTCCTGCGGGCGCCCGCCTCCCCGCCCCTCGCCGCTCGCTCGGCTCCGGCCCGGGGACCGACCTGCATGGGCGCTTCGTGCCTCATCGCCGGGCGCGGCCCGCCGCTCGCTCGCTCGCCCACGCCGCCCGCCGCCGCCGCCGCCGCCGCCGCCGCCGCCCGCCCGGGCTCTGCTGACAAACCCGCGTCGCGATCAGCACCGGAGCTGTCCCCGCCCCGCCCCCGGCGCTGCGCGGCACCGCCCCGCCCTCCCGCGCGCCCCCGGGAGCTGTAGTCCCGCTGCGCCGCTCCCCCCGCGACCGTCGCCGCCAGGGCGGGGAGGAAGGACTTCAGCTCCCAGGATGCTCTGCGCCCGGCCGCCGGCCGCCGCGGAGGACGGCGCGGGCGGAGGCGGAGCGGGGCAGCGAGCGCTTTGCAAACTTGTCTCGGAGCGGCGGAGGGGCCGGGGGAAGGCGAGCGGCAGCGCCGGCCGCTCTGGGCGGGGGCGGCGGGCGGTTTGCCCGCTCTGAGGCGGAAAGCAGGGACGGAGCTAGCGGAGCCGGCGCCGGCTGTTTCGGCGGAGCCGCTGCCCTCCGCGGCCGTGCCCGCCCGGTCCTAGTGATGGCAGCCCCGGAGGAGCAGCGCCGGGCCGGGGGAAGCGAGAGCGGTGGCGGGCACGGCCGGCGGCGGCTCTCGCGTGGGCTGCGGCTTGTGGCGGGGCGAGCAGCCCCCGCTCCCGCGGCGCGGCGCTGCCATTTCGCGTGCCTTTATGCCTGCTCCCGCTCCGCCCGGCCGGCAGGGGGCGCCCGCACCACCGGCCCGCGCCGCGGCCGCGGGGCAGCCGCCGTGTGGGCGTGCGGCAGCCGTGGGCCTGGGACCACGGGGGCCCCGCAGAGCCCACAGTGTCTCGGTCCACGTCCTGCGTCCCTCCTCGCTCCCCACGGCCGGGCCTGGGGCTGAGCAAGGCCGAGCACCCCTCGGCATGGCGACTGCTGCTTAGCGTCCTTACTGTCGGTCCGTAACTGCTCCAGCCTGCGCCGCGGCTTCTCGTACCCTGCCACTGTCAACGCTTTCTCGGATTTCCTCTGGCATTTGACACACAGCTCCAGCCTGGCCCTGTGCTGTGCTGCTGTACGATGTCAGCAGCCCTGCGTGGGCATGGCGTCATTGCTTCTGGGTGGTGGCACTCGGATGGCGGCATCAAGGTCATCATGAGGGAATGACAGTAAAACACCAAAAGTGCATCACACCTTATGTGTGTGTCCCTAGTCCTGGTTTTTATTGTCCAAGAAGAAGTTTTAAACATCTCTCATGGCACTTTTTCCATATCTTACCTTCTAACACGGAGACCAAATTCACCTCGGGCCAAAATGTACAGTTCCGTAAAGGGTAGGAAAATGTACAAATAGCATTGTGTTAAGATTTGTTGTATTCTCCTCTACTGAATGGGTGAAGAGGAACCCTGGGTGTGAGGAGCAAAGGTGACTCGCTGGGATTTTCTGCCTGAGGTTTGAGAGCTGGATGTTGGGCAGAGAGGGAAGCGCAGGAGAAGACGGCTGCGGTGGCCGAGGCAGCATGGAAACAGCAGTCTGCTCTGTGGACTGGGCACTTCTACGTTTGTGGTATGCGTTGAGTAAAGTGAATCACCCATAGGAGCTATGACATAGGCAAACTGTGTAATAGAGACATGAATATGGATTATATGTCAGAAGTAATTTCATTCTAGCTCTGCAGGTTTTTAATTTAATTTACTGCTATTTAAACATACCTCACTATAACATGAAAATAGGAATTAAGTGGATGTCGTGTTTTAAACCAGAACAGTGGAGTTTTTTTCAAAGACGTGATCATCGTGCATTTTTGCAGTTGATTATTTCCTGCATGAGACACTGAATGTTAATTTTTCTGCCAGTGTGGGCATGTAGACACCATGAATTTGCTCAGCATTTTAGACCCATCTGTATGTGTTCGTGCATGAGTGCATGAGCATGCTTCAGAATTGTTTTTGTTTTTTTAATGCATGTGTTTTATTCTTGCTGTTGATTTTAGACGAATGCATACCAAAAAATCATGAGTAACAGCCCATTTCCCTTTGAAAACAATGCAGATTATGTTTATTATCAACTGCAGTTAGGGAAAAGCAGAGAGATTCATCCTCCTATTAAAGCATTGTTTTATGGAGTTTTGTTTTTAAAAAAAGTACTATAAATATATTACACAATCTTTAACATATTAAACTATAGCTTTCCATAAAACAGTTCTCATTTTGGAATGTCAACTGAATAGATAATTGAAACAGTAGATTAAAGTATTCAGGGAAGCTTTTGATTATAGAATTTAGAAAGTAGATACTCTAGATTTATTATTCTGTTAAACTTTTTAAGTATATTTACTGCAGATACTGTATTAGAAATTACAAGATTTAAATGATTCTGGGTTCTCAAATTTATTTCAAGACAAAGATCCTCCATGTCCTTTTATTACATTAGCATTTATCTTATCATTGAAGTCTCCAAGCAATCTCTCACCTACAACCTCCATACAGGGAACTATCACTAGAACATAAAGCAGGATTACTTTTTGGATTGTCATATGTCCTTCTTTAAAGCATGGGATCATCTTTTTTTGTTTTTATTTTTACTAAAAATGTTAAAGAACATCTCTGCATAAACAATACATTTCTGTTTCATTGTTTATTTTTTAAAAGGCATAAAGATGCATGAAGTAACACCAAGATTTTGCTTTGTGTGTTAGTTGAAGAGACGATACTGTTGTTTGTTTTTTTTTTTTTAATTCCACGGGTTTTGTTTATTACTTGTCTTCTGACATTAACTTTGTCCTTTTCTTTCTGTCTTCTTCAAAGGCTTTTGAAGAAGATTTGGAAAATAAATGGACCAGAATTAAATAGTGTAATGCTAGACACAACAAAGGTTTTGTACCTTAAGCATCCTTAGTCCAGTGGCATGCTGTGGCAATACTCCTGAATACTCTTGTCCACAGACCACTGTTTTTGTAGGGCAGGAATTTCTGCTGATTACTAATTGCTGGGTTACAGTACATTAACATTTGTGGAGCATGGCGTACTTGAAGCTCTCTTTTAGTAAATTACCTAGTTTAGTAAAATGCCTAGTACTTTTAACCAGGAATAGTAGAAACACTGAAGAAGTGGTCATGATCAGTTCAGGCTTTCAGTTATGCTGATTATACTACCTCCTTTGTCAGTTATGTTGATTATAGTATTTCCTTTTCATTTGCTAACACAGGAGTGATTTTTTTTTCACGCCACATGCTGGATCATGGAATGCACAGAACAAGTTAGTTATTATTTGTTAATGTGAACTGAAGAAAAAAGGAGAAATTTTAATTTGCCTCAGGTGATGGCAAATAGTCATTCAAATAGCATATGTCATCACAAAATCTAACCTAGAATGAACATGCTGCCCATGAGATAGCTAATACAGTCAATCTCTCTTACCTAGTTATAGAATGGTGTGATTTTAGGAAATTTTATTATCTTGGTAACACAGTTTGGTTTTTGCCCAAAACACTGATTTTACAGTACATAGAAGATAAACAATAACTTTCAGGGCTGCATGCTATATGTAAGACACCTTGTATTAGCAAAGGCACCAGGAGACAGCTGGACAGCTGGGTGGTTTTGGATGAGTGAATTCTGGAATGATGGACACATTAACAAAGAAGTTTTGCTGTTTTCCACTAGAGGTCTACATAAGTAAAAATAATGTAATGTAACTTTTATTTCGTAAGTTCAGTGCACATATTGGGAGCAAATATTTTCTGTGTTTTCAAAACTTTCAACATGTAGGCCATACTATAAAATTGACAAGTAAGATTCAGAAGTAGAAGAAACCTAAGTTAAGAGCGAGAATAGTAAAGCAAGGAAAGTTAAATAACGATCATTGTTCCTCTCTTGCAATTTTTAGATCGAAATACAAATCATCTCACTTTTTGATTTAAGAAGATAAAGGTTCTCACTAGATGCAAAATGCCAGCCGTTTTGAAATATCTATACATCTTGACAATGTTTTCTCTCGTGTTCTGTTCCTTAATGTCAAATAGCTTTCTTTTTGTCCCTGGCCTTTTAGGACACAGTATTTCTTTTGATGCTGCATGCCATTTGACTTATCCTGGGATTGGACTTCAGATGCAGAGAAAAAAAAAAAAAAGAAGAGAGTCACACATATTTCACTAAGCAGTAAAGGCTGTTCACCCTGACTCAGTCTGTCATGTTTGAAAGTCTGGCTTGTGCTTGCAAAATGTAAATGTTGCAGTATGCCTTCTTTAGACTATTTTTTTTTTTTTTTTTTTTTTTAGTAAAAAGGTATGGGATCTTTATATTTGACTTGGTAAACAGGAAATATATAGAGAAGGAAATGGTGATTAAAGATCTCAGGAATGTTTCTTTCCAATGACAGTTTTAAACATTGTTTCATCAAGAAGGCAAGCATAAATTAATAAAATTTATGAAATTAAACTAGAAATTACGTTGAGAGCAGATGTGGCACTGAAACAAGACAAGATCTGTCTCAAGCACAGATCTCAGTACACACTCATTGATAAAAATCTGTGGAGACTTCTCGTCAGGCTATGAGACAGATAAACTACATAGAATTTTGTTGTGGGGTAAACCACGGAAGTTGTTATATTTGCAACAAATGAAGATGCTTCACTGCTGTGTAGGTGCTTAGTTTTGTGACCTTCCCAGATTTGGCAAGTCCTTACCAGCAGACGAGACACACATCAGGTTACATGACAGCATGCTGCTGATGCATGCACTGTTGATGCCACAGTGGGGAATGAGAAAGCAGTGGCTAAAAGAGCAAGTCTGGTGCTCATCACATGAGACTTGACAGAGCTGCATTAGAATGAAAGACAACTAAATGGTTTCTGTCAGCATTTTTTTTTTTTTCTGATTCTCAGAATATAAGATACTGTCAGTCTCTTCCCTGTTAAACCTTGCAACCACTAAAACTGTAACACATAACTGAAATGCAGCTTTTCATTTTGTGGGTAAGGGCCCAGCGTAAATCACTACAGTTCTGCTGTTGATGGAAATGAGCACTGGGGTAATCTGTCTTTGCACTGTTGTTGCCATGGCTACTGGGTCACAGCACCAGAGATGCCATCCATTTCCTGCATCCTCGTATTCTA